TGCTGCTGCTCCATCTGCTGCTGCATCCTCCTCTTCACCTGCTACTGCTGCTGCTGCTGCTGCTGCTGCTGCTGCTCCTCTTCATCCGCTGCATCCTCCACTCAATCTCCATCTGCTGCTGCATCTGCTGCTGCTGCTGCTGCTGCTGCTGCTTCTGCTGCTGCTGCTCCTCTTCATCCGCTGCATCCTCCTCTCAATCTCCATCTGCATCTGCTGCATCTGCTGCATCTGCTGCTGCTGCTGCTGCTGCTGCTGCATCTCCATTTGCATCTGCTGCATCTGCATCTGCTGCTGCTGCATCTGCATCTGCTGCTGCTGCTGCTGCTGCTGCTGCAGGTGCGCGGCGACATGGACGTGCCTGGCCGAGCTTTGGTTGGGGTGTATGGACACTGCGCGCAAGAAGTTATAAATTTGCTGCTGCAGGGCGCCGCCAGCAGCAACTTGTTTGACGATACAGCAGAGCTCGGAGAAACCTCTTTGGGGGGTATTTATAAGAGACCAGTGCTAGGGTTTTTATCCGAAATGGAGGTTCTTAGGTAAACCCTAGTAAACCCTAAACCCTAGTAAACCCTAGTAAACCCTCATAAACCCTAGTAAACCCTAGTCGATACAGCAGAGCTCGGAGAAACCTCTTTGGGGGGTATTTATAAGAGACCAGTGCTAGGGTTTTTATCCGAAATGGAGGTTCTTAGGTAAACCCTAGTAAACCCTAAACCCTCATAAACCCTAGTAAACCCTCATAAACCCTAGTAAACCCTAGTCGATACAGCAGAGCTCGGAGAAACCTCTTNAACCCTAGTAAACCCTAGTAAACCCTAGTAAACCCTAGTAAACCCTAGTAAACCCTAGTAAACCCTAATACACCCTAATAAACGCTAGTAAACCCTAGTAAACCCTAATACACCCTAATAAACCCTAGTAAACGCTCGTAAACCCTAATAAACCCTAGTAAACCCTAGTAAACCCTAGTAAACCCTAGTAAACCCTAGTAAACCCTAGTAAACCCTAGTAAACCCTAGTAAACCTTAATAAACCCTAATAAACCCTAGTAAACCCTAGTAAACCCTAGTAAACCCTAATAGTCCCTAGTAAACGCTCTTAAACCCTAATAAACCCTAGTAAACCCTAGTAAACCCTAGTAAACCCTAGTTAACCCTAATAGACCCTAGTAAACCCTCATAAAGCCTAATAAACCCTAATAAACCCTAATAGAGTAGGAGAAAGTTCTTTGGGGGGAATATATGAAAGGCCTTTGCGGGGGTTTCTATTAGCAGTGGAACCCTAAACCCTAAACCCTAATAGACTTCTGCTGCTGTTGCTGCTCCATTCGCTGCTGCTGCTGTTGCTGCCTTATATGCTGTTGCTGCTGCTGCTGCTGCTGCTGCTGTTGTTTCATATGCTGCTGCTTCATATGGTGCTTCTGCTGCTGCTGCTGCTGCTTCTGGTGCTCCTGCGACATACGTTCCTTCTCTTTCTCCTGCTGCT